AGTTTTGAATATAAAACAAAAATATTCTGTATTGTAGACATTTGCATGACAAATGCAGTGCAGCTGATGTCAGTCCAGCAAAACTCTGCTGGCCCAGTCTTGTTTGGACTCCAGATACACTCTAATGTGACTGAGTATGCTCCAACTGGTTTTCTCTTTCTGAGGAAAAGGAAGTTACAGCTAGTTTATCATTCAGTCTAAAGTCCAGTAGAGAAGCTGAGTGTGTGTTCAGGAGTGTGATATAATAAACTGCTCTACTGTGAGAAACTACAGATCGTATTATCATATATGAGCTGATGTGTGTCTCTGCTGTAGGACTGGAGATCCTGATAAAGACAAATAACTGCAACACGGTCGCTAAAATAACTTGAGCTTGACATTTATCAGCGCTATCACTGACACATTCCACGTTGTACAGCTGTGCTGTTGGAGTTTAAAATTAAAATATAGATATAAAACTTTACCAATTATTGGTTATCAGAATTTTTATCTAACTCTAAACATTGTTTTTACTCACGGTGGGAACTTTACTAGCGGCAGGGCGGTAAAAATACACTATGTCCTAACAGCAAGCAACGCGAGTGAGAACAACAAAACCAAAATGCTTCCATTATAATCACTGAGGATGCTTATACCAGCTGGGGCAGCAGAGCATGATGTGATGAGGTGCAACTTTTTTGACAGGCGCCCTGTTTCTGTTTTGGCGCATTGTGTTGCTCTGCAATTCCACTCAAGTTTCCTTCCTCTCGCTCTTAGGGAGTTTTTCCTTGCCACTCGCACCAATGGCTTCCTCATGGGGGCTTGGACCTGGATTTTTTTGCAAAGCTACTTTACGACAATGCTTGCTGTAAAATGTACTGTATAAATAAACTTTGACTGGACACCTTAAAGCAGATGAGAAGGAAGTCCTCCATGAAGTGTAGAAGTGAAGGATCTTTATGAATCTTCTGGTAAACAATTTGGAGAGAAACAGCCAGATTGCTGGAAATTAGAGGTGAATACTGTTTGTTAGCTAGGTTAGCTAGGTAAGTAGATACAAGTCAGCATGTCCAAGCTGCTCACCTGCACAGTAGTATAAAAGTCTATGTAAATTACAGCTGGAGAGCTCTGTCAGTAAAGCAGCTATTTTTTGGGAGATCTGTGGTTTGTTTATGTTTTACTTGTCACACACTTGACATTTCCAGTGTAGATATCCTGCAGGCCTTCTGCCGTGATGTAGTACTACATTTGGATGCCAGCTTGCTGTTAGGAAATGGTGTAATTTTGAGTTTGGTGTGATTTTGAGCTGATCATAATCCTGACACTCTCCACATCTTTCCTAAACATTTTTCTCCTCCAATCACTGTTTAGTAGGGGTGCGGGAAAAAATCTATTCTTAGATGCATCGCAATGCGGACGTGAACGATTCTGAATCGATTTACAAATGTCAAAAATCGATTTTCTAAATATTTAATTTATACCGTAATGTTGACGGAACGCAAAAGGCGGAACTTGGAAGTGGGTAAGTGCAGCGCCCGGACAGTCTGTGGCGGCACATAACAAAAACACAATGGGATGAGCAAGAAATCTGACCGGCTCCCTCTGCGTTAAAGCCAGGTTAGGTCAGGAGTCACAACACAAATGATAAGAAGAGACATTTTGTCCTTTCAACACAAATCAAACCAGCTTGGGAGCCGCAACATTTAATGTCCAGTATGTCTCAGTATGTGTTAATGTCCTAGTATAGACTAAACAATATAAATGAAAACGCAGACTTACTCTGCTCTGCTTTAAGCTTTAGCTACAGCCGCTTTTCTTCCATTTCCGCCAGAAAACTTTTCCTCAAAAGTTCAATAGTTTCTTCTAAAATGTCTCTCAACGTTCGACTGTCTTACGAGGCTGAAGTCGCTTCTCTTTCTCCAGCTTCTTGTTCGAATTCTCCCGTTCCACCTTAAATTCTGACTGAGGCGACGAATGTAAATACAGCACCATTTAAGGTGGAACGGGAGAATTCGAAAGAGAAGCGACTTCAGTTTCGCAACTGTTTAGTGTTTGACAGTCTCTTGTTGCAGATTTAACATACCAGGAAACCAACTGCGCTGCTTATAAATGTGCATAACGCATCGTTGCTATGTGACCTGCAGGCCAGTTCTCAGTCGTTGCGAAACAGGGCTTTCACGCTATGTTGCATGCGCCCCGTTTCAAAGATATTTTACTGACACAGCGACCTCCCCCCCCCCTCTCTCTACAACGAGACCAAAACCGATGTTATAAAATCACTGAATTTAACGGGTAGGACGGCTGTAACCCGCTGCGTGGTCATCCACTACCACTGGATCTTATTTCACCGTAACTGCACAAATGAGTGGCAGCAGCGTCTCATTCTCTGAACAAGAGCAGTGAATGCGCCTTCTACAGGGAGATTCACTCGAAAGAGCCCCCGAATATTCTGTAATAACTTTTGCTAGGACGAGTCAATCTGAATGAAACAGTGTGCAATGTGCTCCTCAGTATATGGAGCTTTGAACAAGCCGGGATGCTCCTGCGTCGGAGCAATGAGGTAGGCGCCGGACAGCCATTGTGACGTTTAACCTCTGTTTGCAACTAACCAGAGCATTCCCCCGTACCCCTTCATGTGTCTGGCAGAAAACGGAGGTCACTTCCAGCATCGCATGTAATGCAATAGATTACACATACATCAAAGTATGTAGTGTATTTTTTTTTGGTTCAGATTGCTTCATCCTAATGGGAGTTACGACAGAATATTCGGGGCCTCTTTCGAGTGAATCTCCCAGTAGTTCACTTGCCACATCACTTCCATTTGATTTATTAATAAAAGATATTGGAAGTAAATTCATTATAGATCATTACAAATACTTTGTTTTAAAAGTACCAAGTCCTCAAACAGTAGGAAAATAGAAACGCTGTATAGAAAAAAAGAGATGCATCGATAATCATTTTATCATCGCATCGCAGCCCTCTGAAACGTAATCGAATCGAATCATGAGGTGCCTAGAGATTCCCACCCCTACTGTTTAGTAACCGTTACACTATCCCTCATTATCTCAGGCTTTCAGGTTTTAGCAGTGAGCTAGCATCCCTAAGAATGTACTTTGACTATGAAACTCCAGGTATTCAAAAGATGTATAAAGTTTGTTACAAACTGAACACAATGTGAATAAACAGCACTAAAACATTAAATATTCAGATGTGATTTTATTGCATTTAGACCCACCTGCGGCAACACAGTATTTTTGGAATTTCACCAAATTGTTTGAAAAAAAAAAAGATCTTTTGCTTCTCATGAAACAGGTAAAGCGTGATATTGTGAAGGATCCACAATGGATCCTTTACAATATCACGCTCGTACGTATCACGCAACACCACAATATCACGCTTTCATCCACCTCATTCAGGAGCTTAAACATAGTCCTTTTTAATGTTTCTAGCTTAAATTTTATGAGCTTTTTCGCACACAGCTCAGATCACCATAACTCTTTTTGAGCTGATTTTGGAGACACAACTCCATACGAGGCAAAACACAAAGCAAACAGGCTGAATGTCTTCAAGTGGAAATCATATAATGTTGAATGGGCAAAGTGTGACACTAGGCTACTACCATTTGGGAAAAGTGAAAGTATAGCATGACGAGCTATAAATTATACAAATAAATCACGTTTGGTGTGTAAAGGCCTTAAAACTGTGAAGCTTGTGGAATCATTAAAGCACCTGTTTTGGTACTTTCCACAGGTGAATAGTTAACAGGTGATGCTACCATGATTGGATATAAAAGGAGCATTCACAAAAGGTCTGATGCAAAGTGGAAACGTGTGCTGTGATCAGACCAGTCCACCTTTCAAATTGTGTTTGGAAGTAATGGATGTTGTTCTCTAGGCCCTGCTTGTCCCAGCTTGTTTCAGCAACACAATGCCAAGCCAGATTCTGCTCATGTTACAACAGCGCAGCATCATAGTAACAGAGTGCAGGTACTAAACTGGCCTGCCTGCAGTCCAGACCTGCCTCCAATTGAAAATGTGGGACACATTATGAAGCGCAACATACGACAATGTAGACGCCAGACTGTTGAGCAGCTAAAGTGTTATGTCAAGCAAGAATGGAAAAAAAAATTAATTTCACTACTATAACAAATGGTGTCCTCAGTTCCCAAATGATTACTGAATTGTGATGTAATGCAGTGGTAAACATGCCACTGTCCCAAATTTAGAATATATATATATTTCTGTGTGGAGTTTCCCTGTTCTCCCCGTGTCTGCGTGGGTTTCCTCCGGGTACTCCGGTTTCCTCCCACAGTCCAAAAACATGCAGTCAGGCTGATTGGACATGCTGAATTGCCCCTAGGTGTGTGTGACTGTGTATGTCTGTCTGTCTGCCCTGTGATTGACTGGCGACCTGTCCAGGGTGTATCCTGCCTTCTGCCCAATGACAGCTGGGATAGGCTCCAGCACCCCACCATGACCCAGAAGGATAAGCGGTTTAGATGATGGATGTATGTATATATATACACAAAATATATATTCTGTATATATATATATATATATATATATATATATATATATAATATAAAAAATAGATATACAAAAAAATCAATGAAGGTAATTACTTGAAGCATTAAACATTTTCTCATTTTGTCTTTTTTCATATGAATACATGTCAAATGGATTTGCAAGACATTTTTCCTACTGTCACAACTTGTTGGAACTGGGTTGGTGATATGCAGATACTTCACATCCTTATGTGTGTGTGCATCACTGTGCAGGTTTTCTTTAAAATAATTACATTTCTTTAAAAAAAATGAAAGCAAGTCTCCTGAACAGAATGGAAACCGTAATAAAGACTAGGAGTGGACTGACTAAATGCTGAAACTTTGGACCTGGCCTGATCTCTGTAGTAAATAAATGAGCCATTCAGAGTGCCCACACCAGTGTCTGTGTTGCTGCAAATGTGCTCTTTGCTAACTCCACTCCTCATGGCTACCTGTCTTCCTGTAAACTGTCTTTCAGGGATGATGTTTCTTTGTGTGATGATACTGACTTTCTCTGGCTTTATGGAGACCATGTCAGGTATGTGTGCTCTATCCTATAAAAAATATTTAAAAAATACTATATTGGAATCAGTTAACACTCATGAAGCAATGTAAATGTTTTATATAGGCAATAATTTCATACATACAGTGCCCTCCAATATTGGCACTCCTGGTAATCATGAGCAAAATGAGCTTTAAAAAATATTCACAATTACTTATTCTTTTGATCTTTTGTTCAAAATATAAGCAACAATCTAACCTTTATTTAAGGTGTAATGATTGAAAGAAAAACCTAAATCTTGTCATGAAGTAAACATTTTTCTTAAATGTATGTGTGCCACAATTGTTGGCACCTCTAGAAATTCTTAAGAGTGAAATGTAACTGAAGTATATTTTCATTGATATTTTATGTTTTTAAGTTCACCTGAGAGATTAGGAACACTTCAATGGACAGCTATTACTTCTGTTTCATTAGTGAATACATATGAGATGAAACACAGGCCGAATTCCTTCAGTCACCTATCGCTATGAGAAAGACTAGAGAATACAGCAGTGATGGTTGATGACGACAAAATGTTGCTGAGCTGCACAAATCAGGAAATGGCTACAAGAAAATAGATACAGTGGGGCAAAAAAGTATTTAGTCAGCCACTGATTGTGCAAGTTCTCCTACTTAAAAAGATGAGAGAGGTCTGTAATTTTCATCATAGGTACACTTCAACTATGAGAGACAAAAATGAGAAAAAAAATCCAGGAAATCACATTGTAGGATTTTTAAAGAATTTATTTGTAAATTATGGTGGAAAATAAGTATTTGGTCACCCACAAACAAGCAAGATTTCTGGCTCTCACAGACCTGTAACTTCTTCTTTAAGAAGCTCTTCTGTCTACACCGAGAGGGACTCAAATCCTGCAGTGCCAGGTGTGTCCCCCTGCTTAAGCCAGTACATGTCCAGGCCCATCTGAAGTTTGCCAGAGAGCATATGGATGATCCAGAAGAGGATTGGGAGAATATCATGTGGTCAGATGAAACCAAAATAGAACTTTTTGGTAAAAACTCAACTCGTTGTGTTTGGAGGAAGAAGAATGCTGAGTTGCATCCCAAGAACACCATACCTACTGTATAGCATGGGGGTGGAAACATCATGCTTTGGGGCTGTTTTTCTGCAAAGGGGACAGGACGACTGATCCGTGTTAAGGGAAGAATGAATGGGGCCATGTATCGTGAGATTTTAAGCCAAAACCTCTTTCCATCAGTGAGAGCATTGAAGATGGAACGTGGCTGGGTCTTCCAGCATGACAGTAATGCTAAACACACCGCTCGGGCAAAGAAGGAGTGGCTTCGTAAAAAGCATTTCAAGGTCCTGGAGTGGCCTAGCCAGTCTCCAGACCTCAACCCCATAGAAAATTTGTGGAGGGCCCAGCGACAGCCCCAAAACATCACTGCTCTAGAGGAGATCTGCGTGGAGGAATGGGCCAAAATACCAGCTAGTGTGTGCAAACCTGGTGAAGACTTACAGGAAACGTTTGACCTCTGTCATTGCCAACAAAGGTTATGTTAAAAAGTATTGAGTTGAACTTTTGTTATTGACCAAATACTTATTTTCCACCATAATTTACAAATAAATAAAATCCTACAATGTGATTTCCTGGATGTTTTTTTCTCATTTTGTCTCTCATAGTTGAAGTGTACCTATGATGAAAATTACAGACCTCTCTCATCTTTCTAAGTAGGAGAACTTGCACAATCAGTGGCTGACTAAATACTTTTTTGCCCCACTGTAAACAGTTTGAAAATTCCCATTTCCACTATCACGGCAATAAGTAAGAAGTTCAAAACAACTATAGATAATAAGAATCTGCCAGGAAGAGGACATATGTCTGTACTGACCCCACTCACAGTGAGGAGGATTGTTTGAGTGGACAAAGAATCTTCAATGATTGTGTCTCACAATCTACAATCAAACGCCACCTATATAACCAGAAGTTGTTTGTGTGGGTTCCAGAGTAAAGGCTCTCCTGTCGACAACCAGCATATTGATACTCTTACAGCTTGCCAAACAATACTGCAATCTTCGGTGGGATCGTGTTCTGTGGTCAAACCAAAATGGAGGTTTTTGGCAATGAACACCAGAGGTGAGTTTGGCGTGAACACAGAGTCATTTATGAAAGGAGTTCATCTCCACTGTGAAGGCTTGG